GGGTAAACCCCTCCCCCGAGCAGGGGAAGGAGGAGGTTTTGACAGAGAGAAGACACAACTCCCTAAATCACCTACGCCCAGAGGGCTGGTGGGATTGGGTGTTCTCTGATAGCGAAGGGTGCGGGTGTTGCTGCTGGTGCTGCTGCTGGTGCTGGTACTGCTGCTGACGGTGTTGCTGCTGGTATTCCTGGTTCCCGTGCTGTTGGCGCTGCCTGCTGATGCTGCTTGTGCTGCTGGTGCTGCTGGTGGTGCTGGTGTTAGTGGTGCTGCTGCTGGGCTGGTGTTGCTGGTCCTCATGCTTCCGGTGTTGGTGTTGGTGGTGGTGCGGCTGCTATGCTGGTGCTAGTGGTGATGCTGGTGCTGCTGCTGGTACTATTGCTGGTGATAGTGGTGCTGCTGCTGATGCTGCTGGTGCTGCTGCTGAGGCTGGTGTTGCTGGTTCTCGTGCTGTCGGTGGTGCTGCTGCTGCTGCTGCTGCTGCTGGTGCTGTTGCTGGTGACTGTGGTGGTGGTGCTGCTGCTGGTGATGCTGCTGCTGGTGCTGCTGCTAGTACTGTCGGTGATGGTGGTAGCAGGCTGTGTAACAACCGCCTCGGAAGCGTGTACTCGGATGTCTTTGGGAGCCATCTTGGGGCTCTCTTGGGGTTCTTTTGGTGCCCTCTTGGGGCTCTTTTGGTGGGTCTTTGGGCCATCCTGAGGCTCTTTTTGGGGGGTCTGGGCGGCCTCTTCGGGCCATCTTGGAGGCCTCGGCTGAAAAAAGAGGGCGGCAGCAATTTGCGTCGCCCCCATCGGAGGCTCCAAAAGAGCGTCTTGGGCCCCTCTTGGGCCGCTCTTGGGGCGCTCCTGGGCGCTCTTGGGGCCCTCTTGGGGCCCTCTGGAGCCTCTCTTGGAGCTTTCTTGGGCCATCTTGGGGCCATCTCGACGCCTCAAGAGCCTATCGGAAGCGAAAATGCGAGAGGGCAAACCACATAGATTTTCCTTATGTTTTGGAGCCATTTTGGCTTCTTGGGGGGGTCTTTGGAGGGCCTGGAGGCCACTTGAAACCGTCTTAGGCCCGTCTTGAGGCATCTTTTATGTGTGTCGGAGGCTATCTTGAGCCATCTTGAGTTATCTTGAGCCATCTTGGAGGCCATCCTGGGCTCTCTGAGGCCCTCTTGGAGCCATCTTGGGCCAAAAAGGACGCTCTGACACTTCGCGGGGCGCCCCGTCCAGACCCAGGGGAGGGGGTAGGGGGAGGGGTCAAGTTACCACTGGCGCAAGCCGTCTCGCTCACTCCCACCCGCCCTCCCAACATATAAGTAGCACCCGAGCCTCAGCATGTTCAGCGATCGTCTTTGAATGGACAGCTTCTGTGAACCAAAACCGACCCCATGTGCGCGACGCTGGGCCGAGGTGCGCCACGCGCGCCAGGCACACCTGGGGCCCCAAGCGTACCAGGCACGTCTGGTGCGCCACTGTCGGGGCACGCGCAGAGTGTGCCAGGTGCGCCTGCGCACGTGGCGGCACACATCGGAACCATGTCGCCCCCCGCCATCCTTGTCGAAAACCAATGCGCAATCGCGGCGGGGTGGCCATCATGGTGTCTGGTGGGCCTGCACACACCAGGCCATATGCCAGCACCCCAGCCGCCCCTTTCAAAAACCACTTGACAGGGATCTCGGGGTGGCCGCGCGTGATCCAGATTTAGCCGCGAAGTGCATTCTGTATTGTTTTTCTGTAGGGATGGTGGCCGTGCACACAGCAGGCAACATGCTGGCACCCCCGCCGTCCCTGTCAAAAAAACAATATAAAGTGTTCGCGGGGCTCACGAGCATGACCCAAGACTTGGCCCAAAGTGTACTCTGTATTGTTTTTTTACAGGGATGGTGGGGGGCGGCCGCATCGGGTTGGCTGCGCATGCTCCCAATTTGGAGGCAGAGTGTGTTTTGTATTGTTTTTTATCAGGGATGGTGTGGGGTGTGTGATCATGGGGTTGGCATTGCTCCTGGTTGGGTGCCGGTCGCCTGGGGGGGGGGGTGTATATTAATAAGGACAGTGATAAACCCCTCCCCCGAGCAGGGGAAGGAGGAGGTTTTGGCAGAGAGAAAACAAAGTTCGCCAAACCACTTACGCCCAGAGGGCTGGTGGGATTCTTGAGCCCCTTGTCTTGCAGTCCTACATCCGTTCGGACGGCCACGCCAGCTGGTAGTTCGACTACGCCTGTTGGCCGATGCAGTGTTGTATACCTTTGGACTCGAGGCATCGTTGGCCCTCGGCTCGATCTGCAGGCTCGCAGCGTTATTCAGGTAACTCGGCGCAAGCCCGAGTCTTCGTGCGAATACTTTCGTGCTAGCGCGGATCTGGCAGCAGACGTGGCACCAGAGAAAATGAACCCGATGCGACCCCGACTGCGATTCTTGTTTCGCGTGATGAGCGTCTGGAATGCGCACAGTCCTGTCTTTGTGGTGCCTGCTTGGGGCCTCTTGGAGGCCGCTTGGGGGTCTCTTGAATGCTTCTTGTAGCCTCTATGGGAACACTTCATGGTCTGGGCATCTTGGGCCGTCTTGGGGCCTCTTGCGCCGTCGAGCCCTTCTGGAAGCTGTCTTACCGTTAAACTTTCGGGATCACCGATGTGCAATCTTACGTCCAAGGCCCCATCGGAGGACCTCAAGTGGACCTCGGGGGGAGGAGGGGGATGAGGAGGAGGAGGGGGAGGACCCTGTTGAGCACGTCTTGGGGCCCTCTTGGCCCGTCTTGGGGCCCTATGGCATTTGGACGAGAAGGGGGAGGAGGAGTATGAATAGGAGGAGGAAGGAAGAGGACGAGGGAGGGGGGAATGGGGATCAGGGAGGATGGATGGATGATGATGATGCTGATGATGATGATGATGATGATGATATGATATGATATGATATGATATGATATGATATGGTATGATGATGATGATGATGATGGTGATGATGGTGATGATGGTGAAGATGATGATGATGATGAGGGGGAGGAGGAGGAGGAGGAGGAGGCAGGATGATGAGGAGGAGGAGGAGGAGGGAGGAGGAGGAGGAATACGGTGGAGGATGAGGGAGGAGGAGGGAGAGGAGCATGATGCTGATGCTGATGCTGACGATGATAAAGAGAAACGCGTGCCAGTGCCCGCGACCGCATGTCAGCAGCATGCAATTCAGCAGTGAACTACATCCCTCTTGCCACCTATGTGTCCACATTTCTCGCTCGCTCGTTGCACCCCGTATCGGGCACGTGCCCGATGTGTGGACACAGGGAGGGGGGGAGAGGTGTAGGAGAAGGAGGAGCAGCAGGATGAGCGGCAGGAAGAGGAAACTGAGGAGGGGGAGGAGGAGGAGGGGTCAGGAGGAGAATGAGAAACAGGAGTAAGAATAATCACATGGGGGATGACGCATATGACGAAGGAAACGACGACGACGACGGCGACGCCGACGACGACGACGATGACGACGACGACAGGAGCAGACCTTTCGCTCGGAGAGCGTCCCGGAGAATTCTTGGGGCCATCGCGGGGCCCTCTTGGGGCCATGTTGGAGGCCCCTGGGGCCCTTTTGGTGCTCTGTTGGGGCCCTCTGGGGCTCTTGGGGCGCTCTTGGGGCCCTTTTGGAGGCCTTGGGGGCCATCTTGGAGGCCTCTTTGGCCCTGCTGGGTCTCTCTCGGGGCCCTCCTGGGGCGCGCTTGCGGCTCTCTTAGGGCCCTCCTGGAGGCCGTCAGGGCCCTCTTGGGGCCATCGATCAAAGACAGAGGGGGTGAAGAATGACGCCCCCCCTCCCCGTCGGGGCCCTGGGCCTCCGAGGGCACTCCTGGGCCGCTCTTGGGGCGGTCTTGGGCGCTCTCGAGGCCGTCTTGGGCCCCTCCTGGGCCCCTCCTGGGGCCTTCTTGGGCCATTGGAACCAGCTCGAGGCTCCCAGAGCCCATCGGACGCGAAACAGCGAGAATGCAAAAAACATCGAAAACACACAAGGGTTTTGAAGGATTTTGGCTTCTTGGGGACCTCCTTGGGAGGCGCGGAAAGCACTTGGAGCCGTCCCGGGGCGGAGGGCTCTTGGATGCACCTTGAAAGCTATCTTGAACCATCTTGGGCTATCTTGCGCGATCTTGGAGGCCATCTTGGGCTCTGTGGGGCCGTCTTGGAGCCAGGAGCCACCTCGGGCCATCTTGGGCGCTCTGCCCGCTCGCGGGGCGCCTCGTCCAGACCCAGGGGGAGAGAGCAGGGGAAGGGGGACCCCCCTCCCCGAAGGGGAAGGAGGACGTTTAGCAGAGCGAGCTCGTCAGACCACTCACGGTAGAAAGGGCTGGTGGGATTACTGTTAGGTTTGCATGGGAGCTCAGTTTGGGTGTGGAATGTAGTTTTGTTTCGGATTCGAGTGTTGTTCATGTCGGAGTCTGATTTGAAGCTGGATTTGGATTCGGGCGCGCAGGCTTGGGCCTCGTGCCCAGGCCCGTGCACGGAACACTTGCGGCATGGAACTTCCTTTTCGGATGCCGTCGCTTCTTTAGGGGCGCGCGCAGCGCAGGAAGTGACTCACTTCTGATGGCCGGGCGGGGCTTGGAGTGACTCACTTCGGCGGCCCCTCTGTGTTCATCGTCTTCTCGTCGTGGTTCTCTGTGTCATTGATTAGGATTGCTTGGCATCGCTTGGCGTTGCTTGGCATTGCTTTGCATGGCTTGGCATTGCTGGAGCGCCACCGCGACGTAAAGGTGGTCACATTAGACACCAGGACCCCGGGACCGCCCAAAAACGATCCGGGGCGAGAAACCGGCCCTGGGGATGCTCATTGTGGCGACCTTTCGAACACCGCCCAGGAGGCTGTCTGGCCCATCCTCCTTCGCGTCGTGTCGGGTGTGTCGGGTGGGCCACTGGCTCCTGCCCTTGGGTCCAGGATCCCTTTGCCGGAGGGGCACCGCTCCGAGCCCGTGCCAGGCCCTCCCTCCCGCATCACCGAGCGACAGGACATCGGCTCCCGAGTCTGCCGACGAGCGATGGCTGGCACGCTCCAGGCCACGGTGCTCGCGCTGGCCGGCGCGCTGCGCCTGCAGCAGGCCTCGGCGCACGGCAAGCTCACGGTGCCCGCCTCGCGCAACGAGCTCGGCGGCTCGTCGACGTGCGCGCGCTGCCTCAACGGCGCTGGGCCCTGCGGCGACTCGTCGAGCTCGAACTTCTTCGCAGGGTCGCAGGCCACGTGGACTGCGGGGAGCATCGTGCCCATCACCGTGGTGGTGACGGCACGCCACATGGGCCACTACGAGCTCCGGATGTGCGACGCGCGGCTTGACGGCTCGACATCGGACCCAGAGGGGTGCCTCAACAGGTGGGTCTTGGAGCGCGCCACCCCTGGGGAGGTGACCGCGGCGTTCGGGCTTGGAGCTTGTGCCCCTGGAGACGACCGGCCCGCCGGCCCTTCTGCGTCCCCATGGACGGGCGCCACCCGGAGCGCTGGTACCTGCCGCCGCGCGGGGAGGTGGACGGAACGCACACGGTATATTTCAAAGTGCCTGCCGGGCTGCGGTGCGATGAGTGCACGCCCCAGTGGCACTGGTGGTCTGCCAACAGCTGCCAGCCCGCAGGGGATTACGGCTGCTACAAGGACGTTCTGCAGTCCAGCGGGTATTGGGTGGGCTCGAAGGCGCCCTGGCGGACCGCGTTCGGCGGCAGCTGCTCTGGTCCAGCGGGCCCGAACGGGCATTTCGGTTGCGGGGGGCAGTTTTGGAATTGCGCTGATATCACAGTGCTTCCTGCGGATGGCTCTCCCAGCTCGCCTGCGCCTGTGCCAGCGCCGGCGCCAATGCCAACGTCGACGCCTACAGCGAGCCCCACGATAATTCCTCCGGCACCCACGTCGGCGCCCACCTCGATGCCCACCTCGGCGCCCAGCGCTGCCCCGACCTTCGCGCCAACGGCATCAGGTGGCGCGTGCACGGGCGCTCCGTGCACATTCCCTGGCGCTTGTCGATCCCAGTGGGGTCGCTGTGGCGTTGGTGCGCCGTGGTGCAACGACCAGTCGACTTGGAAGGCTGACGGCTGCGGGCCATCTCCGGCGGCGCACCGAGGGGTGGTGGGGCAATGGTGGAGGGCTTCGCAGAAGGATGGGTACTTCTAATAACCTCCCCGATGGCTTCTGAGGAACACCCGAGGGCTTCCAAGAAGCATCCTGCCTTCGGCGATGCCTTCCCTCGTTCCCCTACCCCCCTGGCGCGCCGCCAACATCGCTGCCCACCTCGGTGCCCACCTCGGCGCCCACCTCGGCGCCCACTGCGTCGCAGAATCCAAGGCCGACTCCAGAGCCGCAGCCAGAGCCAACCGCCGCCCCGACCTCCGCGCCCACGGCATCAGGTGGCGCCTGCACGTGCGCTCCATGCACAGCCCCTGGCGCTTGTCGATCCCAGTGGGGCCACTGTGGCATTGGCGCGCCGTGGTGCAACGCCCAGTCGACCTGGAAGGCTGACGGCCGCGGGCCATCTTCGGCGGCGAGCCGAGGGGTGGTGGGGCAATGGGGGGGGGCTTCGCAGAAGGATGGTTGCTTCAAATGATCCCCCCGAGGGCTTCTGAGGAGCCCCCGAGGGCTTCTGAGAAGCGTCCTGCCTTCGGCGATGCCTTTCCTTGTTCCCCTAATCACTCCCTTCGGCGCGCCGCCAACATCGCTGCTCGCTGCGAAGGCGGTCAAGCTGCATCGGTTCTTGGGAGCGTAACAGGCCAGATCTTGGCACGGCTGCCGGCCGCTTCGTCGCCAGCACTTTTAGGTGCGCGACGGTGCTGTTGCTGCGGCGGGCGAGGTGATCGTGAGCGACTGCGCCAGCTTGTGGCTCAGGTTCCTGGCCGACCGACGCGGCGCTTTTGTATTTTGAATTCTTGACGCTTCGCGTATCCCCACCAGCCCATCCAGGAACAATACCCAGGAGAGCTGACGGCAGAAAGAGGAAGAGACGCACATTGAGAAACAGCGCGGGCACCAACGATGAATTGGGAGATCTGGTAGCGAAGGGTGCGGGTGCTGCTGCTGGTGTTGTCTGTTGCCGCTGGTATTGTTGCTGCTGGTGCTGCTGCTGCTGGTGTTGCCGGGTCTCGTGCTGCTGGTGCTGGTGGTGGTGCTGCTGCTGGTCTGGTGCTGATGGTGCTGCTGCTGGTGTTGCTGCTGGTGCTATTGCTGTTGGTGCTGCTGTTGCTGGTACTGATGGGTGCTGCTGCTGGTGCTGCTGCTGGTGCTGCTGCTGGTGCTGTTGCTGCTGCTGCTGGCACTGCTGCTGCTGGTGATGCTGCTGGTGCTGCTGCTGGTGTTGCTGGTTCTCGTGCTGCTGGTGCTGCTGGTGCTGCTGCTGGTGCTGGTGGTGGTGGTGCTGCTGCTGGGCTGGTGCTGCTAGTGCTGCTGCTAGTGCTTTTGCCTCTGGTGGTGCTGTTGCCGCTGGTGGTGGTGCTGCTGCTGGTGCTCCTGCTGCCGGTGCTGCTGGTGCTGCTGCTGGTGTTGCTGGTTCTCGTGCTGCTGCTGGTGCTGCTGGTGCTGCTGCTGGTGCTGGTGTCGCTGTTGGTGGTGCTGCTGCTGGTGCTGCTGCTGCTTCTCGTGCTGCTGGTGCTGCTGATAGTGCTTTTGCTGCTGGTGGTGGTGCTGCTGGTGCTGCTGGTACTGCTGCTAGTGCTGGTGGTAGTGCTGCTGCTGGTGCCGTTGCTGGTGCTGCTGCTGCTGGTGCTGCTGGTGCTGCTGGTGCTGCCGCTGCTGCTAATGCTGTTGCAGGTGGTTGTGGTGCGGCTGCTGGTGCTGCTGGTGCTCGCGGTGATGGTCGAAGCAGGCAGTTTAACAACCGCATCGGAAACGTTTTCTTGGAGGTCCCCTGGGGCCATCTTGGGGCTCTCTTGAGGGTTTTCTTGGGGCCCTCCTGGGGCTCTTTTGGGGGGTCTTGGGGCCCTCTTGGGGCTCCTTTTGGGGTCTACCTCTTGGGGCTCTTTTTTTTGGGTCTGGGGGGCCTCTTCCGGCCATCTTGGAGGCCGCGACTGAAAAAAGAGGGCGGCGTCAATTCGCGTCGCCCCCTCGGAGGCTCAAAAAGGGCGTCTTGAGGCCCTCTTGGGCCGCTATTAGGGCGCTCTTGGGCGCTCTTGGGACCCTCGTGGGGCACTCTTGGAGCTCTCTTGGGCCATCTTGGGGCCATCTGGACGCCTCAAGAGTCCATCGGACGCGAAAAGGCGAGAAGGCAAACAACATCAGTTTTCCTTAGGTTTTGGAGCCATTTTGGCATCTTGGGGGGGTCCTTGGAGGGCTGGGAGGGCACTTGAAACCGTATTGGGGCCGTCTTGAAGCCTCTTGGATGCGTGTCGGAGGCTATCTTGAGCCATCTTGAGGTATGTTGGGCCATCTTGGAGGCCATCTTGGGCTCTCTGTGGCCTTCTTGGAGCCATCTTGCCCCGAAAAGAGCCCTCTGCCACCTCGCGGGGTGCCCCGTCCAGGCCCAGGGGAGGGGGTAGGGGGGGGGGCAAACCCCTCCCCCGAGCAGGGGAAGGAGGAGGTTTTGACAGAGAGAAGACACAACTCCCTAAATCACCTACGCCCAGAGGGCTGGTGGGATTGGGTGTTCTCTGATAGCGAAGGGTGCGGGTGTTGCTGCTGGTGCTGCTGCTGGTGCTGGTACTGCTGCTGACGGTGTTGCTGCTGGTATTCCTGGTTCCCGTACTGTTGGCGCTGCCTGCTGATGTTGCTTGTGCTGCTGGTGCTGCTGGTGGTGCTGGTGTTAGTGGTGCTGCTGCTGGGCTGGTGTTGCTGGTCCTCATGCTTCCGGTGCTGGTGTTGGTGGTGGTGCGGCTGCTATGCTGGTGCTAGTGGTGATGCTGGTGCTGCTGCTGGTACTATTGCTGGTGATAGTGGTGCTGCTGCTGAGGCTGGTGTTGCTGTTTCTCGTGCTGTCGGTGGTGCTGCTGCTGCTGCTGCTGGTGCTGTTGCTGGTGACTGGTGGTGGTGCTGCTGCTGGTGATGCTGCTGCTGGTGCTGCTGCTAGTACTGTCGGTGATGGTGGTAGCAGGCTGTGTAACAACCGCCTCGGAAGCGTGTACTCGGATGTCTTTGGGAGCCATCTTGGGGCTCTCTTGGGGTTCTTTTGGTGCCCTCTTGGGGCTCTTTTGGGGGGTCTTTGGGCCATCCTGAGGCTCTTGTTTGGGGGTCTGGGCGGCCTCTTCGGGCAATCTTGGAGGCCTCGGCTGAAAAAGAGGGCGGCAGCAATTTGCGTCGCCCCCTCGGAGGCTCCCAAAGGGCGGCTTGGGCCCCTCTTGGGCCGCTCTTGGGGCGCTCCTGGGCGCTCTTGGGGCCCTCTTGGGGCCCTCTGGAGCTTCTCTTGGGGCTCTCTTGGGCTATCTTGGGGCCATCTTGACGCCTCAAGAGCCCATCGGAAGCGAAAATGCGAGAAGGCAAACCACATAGATGTCCCTTAGGTTTTGGAGCCATTTTGGCTTTTTGGGGGGGTCCTTGGAGGGCCTGGAGGCCACTTGAAACCGTCTTAGGCCAGTCTTGAGGCATCTTGTATGTGTGTCGGAGGCTATCTTGAGCCATCTTGAGGTATCTTGAGCCATCTTGGAGGCCATCCTGGGCTCTCTGAGGCCCTCTTGGAGCCATCTTGGGCCAACAAGGACGCTCTGACACCTCGCGGGGCGCCCCGTCCAGACCCAGGGGGGAGGTAGGGGGGGGGTCAAGTTACCACTGGCGCAAGCCGTCTCGCTCACTCCCACCCGCCCTCCCAACCTATAAGTAGCACCCGAGCCTCAGCATGTTCAGCGATCGTCTTTGGATGGACAGCTTCTGTGAACCAAAACCGACCCCATGTGCGCGACGCTGGGCCGAGGTGCGCCACGCGCGCCAGGCGCACCTGGGGCCCCAAGCGTACCAGGCACGTCTGGTGCGCCACTGTCGGGGCACGCGCAGAGCGTGCCAGGTGCGCCTGCGCGCGCGGCGGCACACATCGGAACCATGTCGCCCCCCACCATCCTTGTCGAAAACCAATGCGCAATCGCGGCGGGGTGGCCATCATGGTGTCTGGTGGGCCTGCACACACCAGGCCATATGCCAGCACCCCAGCCGTCCCTTTCAAAAACCACTTGACGGATCTCGGGGTGGCCGCGCGTGATTCAGATTTAGCCGCGAAGTGCATTCTGCATTGTTTTTTCTGCAGGGATGGTGGCCGTGCACACAGCAGGCAACATGCTGGCACCCCCGCCGCCCCTGTCAAAAAACAATACAAAGTGTTCGCGGGGCTCACGAGCATGACCCAAGACTTGGCCCAAAGTGTACTCTGTATTGTTTTTTGACAGGGATGGCGGGGGGCGGCCGCATCGGGTTGGCTGCGCATGCTCCCAATTTGGAGGCAGAGTGTGTTTTGTATTGTTTTTTATCAGGGATGGTGTGGGGTGTGTGACCATGGGGTTGGCATTGTTCCTGGTTGGGTGCCGGTCGCCTGGGGGAGGGGGTGTATATTAATAAGGACAGTGATAAACTCCTCCCCCGAGCAGGGGAAGGAGGAGGTTTTGGCAGAGAGAATACAAAGTTCGCCAAACCACCTACGCCCACAGGGCTGGTGGGATTCTTGAGCCCCTTGTCTTGCAGTCTTACATCCGTTCGGACGGCCACGCCAGCTGGTAGTTCGACTACGCCTGTTGGCCGATGCAGTGTTGTATACCTTTGGACTCGAGGCATCGTTGGCCCTCGGTTCGATCTGCAGGCTCGCAGCGTTATTCAGGCAACTCGGCGCAAGCCCGAGTCTTCGTGCGAATACTTTCGTGCTAGCGTGGATCTGGCAGCAGACGTGGCACCAGAGAAAATGAACCCGATGCGACCCCGACTGCGATTCTTGTTTCGCGTGATGAGCGTCTGGAATGCGCACAGTCCTGTCTTTGTGGTGCCTGCTTGGGGCCTCTTGGAGGCCGCTTGGGGGTCTCTTGAATGCTTCTTGTAGCCTCTATGGGAACACTTCGTGGTCTGGGCATCTTGGGCCGTCTTGGGGCCTCTTGCGCCGTCGAGCCCTTCTGGAAGCTGTCTCGCCGTTAAACTTTCGGGATCACCGATGTGCAATCTTGCGCCCAAGGCCCCATCGGAAGACCTCAAGTGGACCTCGGGAGGAGGAGGATGAGGAGGAGGAGGAGGACCCTGTTGAGCACGCCTTGGGGCCCTCTTGGCCCGTCTTGGGGCCCTATGGCATGTGGACGAGAAGGGGGAGGAGGAGTATGAATAGGAGGAGGAAGGAAGAGGACGGGGGAGGGGGGAGTAGGGAGCAGGGAGGATGGATGGATGATGATGAGGAGGAGGAGGAGGAGGAGGAGGCAGGATGAGGAGGAGGAGGAGGAGGAGGGAGGAGGAGGAATACGGTGGAGGATGAGGGAGGAGGAGGAAGAGGAGCATGATGCTGATGATGATGCTGATGATGATAAAGAGGAGCGCGTGCCAGTGCCCGCGACCGCATGTCAGCAGCATGCAATTCAGCAGTGAGCTACATCCCTCTTGCCACCTGCGTGTCCACATTTCTCGCTCGCTCGTTGCACCCCGTATCGGGCACGTGCCCGATGCGTGGGCACAGGGAGGGAGGAGGAGGTGTAGGAGAAGGAGGAGCAGCAGGATGAGTGGCAGGAAGAGGAAACTGAGGAGGAGGAGGAGGAGGAGGGGTCAGGAGGAGAATGAGAAACAGGAGTAAGAATAATCACGTGGGGGATGACGGATATGACGAAGAAAACGACGACGACGGCGGCGACGCCGACGGCGACGACGACGACGATGACGACGACGACAGGAGCAGACCTTTCGCTCGGAAAGCGTCCTGGAGAATTCTTGGGGCCATCGCGGGGCCCTCTTGGGGCCATGTTGGAGGCCTCGGGGGCCCTTTTGGTGCTCTGTTGGGGCCCTCTGGGGCTCTTGGGGCGCTCTTGGGGCCCTCTTGGAGGCCTTGGGGGCCATCTTGGAGGCCTCTTGGGCCCTGCTGGGTCTCTCTCGGGGCCATCCTGGGGCGCACTTGCGGCTCTCTTAGGGCCCTCCTGGAGGCCGTCAGGGCCCTCCTGGGGCCATCGATCAAAGACAGAGGGGGTGAAGAATGACGCCCCCCCCTCCCCGTCGGGGCCCTGAGCCTCCGGGGGCACTCCTGGGCCGCTCTTGGGGCGGTCTTGGGCGCTCTCGGGGCCGTCTTGGGCCCCTCCTGGGCCCCTCCTGGGGCCTTCTTGGGCCATCTTGGAACCAGCTCGAGCGAGAATGCAAACAACATCGAAAACACACAAGGGTTTTGAAGGATTTTGGCCTCTTGGGGACCTCCTTGGGAGGCGCGGAAAGCACTTGGAGCCGTCCCGGGGCGGAGGGCTCTTGGATGCACCTTGAAAGCTATCCTGAACCATTTTGGGCTATATTGCGCGATCTTGGAGGCCATCTTGGGCTCTGTGGGGCCGTCTTGGAGCCAGGAGCCACCTCGGGCCGTCTTGGGCGCTCTGCCCGCTCGTGGGGCGCCTCGTCCAGACCCAAGGGGGAGGGGGCCCCCCCTCCCCGAAGGGGAAGGAGGACGTTTAGCAGAACGAGCTCGTCAGACCACTCACGGTAGAAAGGGCTGGTGTGATTACTGTTAGGTTTGCATGGGAGCTCAGTTTGGGTGTGGAATGCAGTTCTGTCTCGGATTCGAGTGTTGTTCATGTCGGAGTCTGATTTGAAGCTGGATTTGGATTCGGGCGCGCAAGCTTGGGCCTCGTGCCCAGGCCCGTGCACGGAACACTTGCGGCATGGAACTTCCTTTTCGGATGCCGTCGCTTCTTTAGGGGCGCGCGCGGCGCAGGAAGTGACTCACTTCTGATGGCCGGGCGGGGCTTGGAGTGACTCACTTCGGCGGCCCCTCTGTGTTCATCGTCTTCTCGTCGTGGTTCTCTGTGTCATTGATTAGGATTGCTTGGCATCGCTTGGCGTTGCTTGGCATTGCTTTGCATGGCTTGGCATTGCTGGAGCGCCACCGCGACGTCAAGGTGGTCACATTAGACACCAGGACCCCGGGACCGCCCAAAACGATCCGGGACGAGAAACCGGCCCTGGGGAAGCTCATTGTGGCGACCTTTCGAACACCGCCCAGGAGGCTGTCTGGCCCATCCTCCTTCGCGTCGCGTCGGGTGTGTCGGGTGGGCCACTGGCTCAGGCCCTTGGGTCCAGGATCCCTTTGCCGGAGGGGCACCGCTCCGAGCCCGTGCCAGGCCCTCCCTCCCGCATCACCGAGTGACAGGACATCGGCTCCCGAGTCTGCCGACGAGCGATGGCTGGCACGCTCCAGGCCACGGTGCTCGCGCTGGCCAGCGCGCTGCGCCTGCAGCAGGCCTCGGCGCACGGCGAGCTCACGGTGCCCGCCTCGCGCAACGAGCTCGGCGGCTCGTCGACGTGCGCGCGCTGCCTCAACGGCGATGGGCCCTGCGGCGACTCGTCGAGCTTGAACTTCTTCGCAGGGTCGCAGGCCACGTGGACTGCGGGGAGCATCGTGCCCATCACCGTGGTGGTGACGGCACACCACATGGGCCACTACGAGTTCCGGATATGCGACGCGCGGCTTGACGGCTCGACATCGGACCCAGAGGGGTGCCTCAACAGGTGGGTCTTGGAGCGCGCCACCCCAGGGGAGGTGACCGCGGCCTTCGGGCTTGGAGCTTGCGCCCCTGGAGACGACCGGCCCTTCTGCGCCCCCATGGACGGGCGCCGCCCGGAGCGCTGGTACCTGCCGCCGCGCGGGGAGGTGGACGGAACGCACACGGTATATTTCAAAGTGCCTGCCGGGCTGCGGTGCGATGAGTGCACGCTCCAGTGGCACTGGTGGTCTGCCAACAGCTGCCAGCCCGCAGGGGATTACGGCTGCTACAAGGACGTTCTGCAGTCCAGCGGGCATTGGGCGGGCTCGAAGGCGCCCTGGTGGACCGCGTTCGGCGGCAGCTGCTCTGGTCCAGCGGGCCCGAACGGGCATTTCGGTTGCGGGGAGCAGTTTTGGAATTGCGCTGATATTACAGTGCTTCCTGCGGATGGCTCTCCCAGCTCGCCTGCGCCTGTGCCGGCGCCGGCGCCAATGCCAACGTCGACGCCTACAGCGAGCCCCACGATAATTCCTCCAGCACCCACGTCGGCGCCCACCTCGATGCCCACCTCGGCGCCCAGCGCTGCCCCGACCTTCGCGCCAACGGCATCAGGTGGCGCGTGCACGGGCGCTCCGTGCACAGTCCCTGGCGCTTGTCGATCCCAGTGGGGCCGCTGTGGCGTTGGTGCGCCGTGGTGCAACGACCGGTCGACCTGGAAGGCTGACGGCTGCGGGCCATCTTCGGCGGCGCACCGAGGGGTGGTGGGGCAATGGTGGAGGGCTTCGCAGAAGGATGGGTACTTCTAATAACCTCCCCGATGGCTTCTGAGGAACACCCGAGGGCTTCCAAGAAGCATCCTGCCTTCGGCGATGCCTTCCCTCGTTCCCCTACCCCCTCTGGCGCGCCGCCAACATCGCTGCCCACCTCGGCGCCCACCTCGGTGCCCACCTCGGCGCCCACTGCGTCGCAGAATCCAAGGCCGACTCCAGAGCCGCAGCCAGAGCCAACCGCCGGCGCCTGCACGGGCGCTCCATGCACAGTCCCTGGCGCTTGTCGATCCCAGTGGGGCCACTGTGGCATTGGCGCGCCGTGGTGCAACGCCCAGTCGACCTGGAAGGCTGACGGCTGCGGGCCATCTTCGGCGGCGAGCCGAGGGGTTGCGGGGCAATGGAGGAGGGCTTCGCAGAAGGATGACTGCTTCAAATGATCCCCCCGAGGGCTTCTGAGGAGCCCCCGAGGGCTTCTGAGAGGCGTCCTGCCTTCGGCGATGCCTTTCCTTGTTCCCCTAATCACTCCTTTCGGCGCGCCGCCAACATCGCTGATGCGCCCGACGCCGCCTTCTGGGCGCGGCGTCCATCGCGGATGTTGCGCGGGATCTGCTAAGGCGAGCGCGTGCTCGATGCCCCTGGCGGCGCGCAGCATTGCTGCTCCCATCGGGGCGTCGCGCGATGATGTTCGGGAACCGCGCCAAGCGGCCGCGAAAATGCTCGACGCACAGCCCGTTCATTTCCACTTTGCGACTTCTATGTCCGCCGCGCTGTATCAGCGAACGAGTCCACGCCGCGCTCGCGGTGTCGATAAGTAGCGCGTCCTCGGCGCGGCCCACGGAATGGGAATCCATTGGGCAAGAAATTATTCAAGACGATCCGTCGGTTCTGTCTGCCGGCTTCACCGAAGAAAGCAACGATGACTCTGAGGGAGCATTCATTGTTTTTTTGTTCTTTCTTTCTTTTTTTTTTTTTTCTCTCTCTCTCTCTCTCTCTCTCTCTCTCTCTCTCTCTCTCTCTCTCTCTCTCTCTTCTCTCTCTCTCTCTCTCTCTCTCTCTCTCTCTCTCTCTCTCTCTCTCTCTCTCTCTCTCTCTCTCTCTCTCTCTCTCTCTCTCTCTCTCTCTCTCTCTCTCTCTCTCTCTCTCGCTGCCTGACAGACAGCCGTCGCTGTGAAGCGAGCTCAGATGTGAGACAAGGCCGTGACCAGATCCGCTTTGGCGGAGCTCCGCAGGAAACGTGCGTTTTTTTAACGCGACAACCATACGTTCGCCAGAGAGCCCCCGTAGTGCCAGCAAAACAAAAGCTAGAGTTGCGAGCGGGGTCAGAACTTGCGCCGCGGGCCACGTTGCGCGAGGCGGCGTTCCGAGCCAGGCGACGACAAGCGTCAGGGCTCCTAAGATCCACGGCGCGATCGCGCTGAGGTGCGGGGCCACGGCAGGCCGTGCTATTTGCACGTTGAGGCACCGCGCGGCGCCGAGCCAGACACCGAGAACCGCGGAGCCGACCCCCAGCAGCGATACGGGAACAGGGGCCTGAGCAAGGCTTGGGAGGGTTACCAGGACCAGCACCAAGTAGGCGCTCAAAGCGACAAGAGCCGCGCCCCACCAGTCGGCGAACGACAGCCAGATCCACGATGCGTTGGCCAGCCACGCGACGCCGAGGCACAGGGGGAGAGCGTAGGTCTGCCCCTGGATGATCCACGCCGCAAGCCCGGTAAAAAGCAACGCATAGATGAGGCCCCAGATCCCGAACGCCGACGCGCTGGGATTGGGCCCTCCCCTTCGGATCGCGTCGAGACTAGCTTGTCGACTACTGCGTCCCAGGGACGCCCCGCCCACCGCGTTGCTGGCGAGGGCGGTTGCGGCAGTCCCCAACTGCCACGGGGACGACGCGGCCAGCGCCATGAGACAACTTTGTGAACATGCTCGACAAAAAGGATTCACGGGCGCATGAGTTTCTTTGCAATGTCTGACTTGTGAATTCTTGACGCTTCGCGTATCCCCACCAGCCCATCCAGGAACAATGCCCAGGAGAGCTGACGGGGGAAGGGGGGAAGAGACCCACATAGTGAAACAGCGCGGGCAACACCGCTGAATTGGGATACCTCTGGTATCGAAGGGTGCGGGTGCTGCTGCTGGTGCTGTTGCTGGTGATTGTCGTGCTGCTGCTACTGGTGCTGCTGCTGGTGCTGGCGGCGTTGGCGAAAGCAAACTTTGCAACAGCCGCCTCGCGAGCGTGTTCTCGGAGGTCTCTTAGAGCCATATTGTGGCTCTCTTGGGGGGGCTTTGGGCCCTCTTGGGGCTCTTTTTGGAGGTCTGAGCGGCCTCTTCGGGCCATCTTGGAGGCCACGGCTGAAAAACGAGGGCGCCCTCAATTCCAGCCCCCCCCCTCGGAGGCTCAAAAAGGGCGTCTTGGGGCTCTCTTGGGCCGCTCTAGGAGCGCTCCTGGGCGCTCTTGAGGCCCTCTGGGGGGCCCTCTTGAGCCTCTCTTGGGGCTCTCTGGGGCCATCTTGGGGCCATCTTGGCGCCTGAAGAGCCCATCGGAAGCGAAAAGGCGAGAAGGCAAAACACATCGATGTTCCTTAGGTTTGGGAGCCATTTTGGCATCTTGGGGGGGTCCTTGGAGGGCTCGGAGGGCACTTGAAACCGTCTTGGGGCCGTCTTGAGGCCTCTTGGATGTGTGTCGGAGGCTATCTTGAACCATGTTGAGGTATGTTTGGCCATCTTGGGCGCCATCTTGGGATCTCTGAGGCCCTCTTGGAGCCATCTTGGGCCAAAAAGGACGCTCTGACACCTTCCCGCCCGCCCCGCCCAGACCCAGGGGAGGGGGTGCCCGAGCAGGGGAAGGAGGAGGTTTTGGCAGAGACAAGACATAACTCGCTAAACCACCTCAGCCCAGAGGGCTGGTGGGATTACAGCAGACTCAACGTGCGCCATATCGTTCTGTCCACGCCATTTCCATTGCGATGCGGGCGCAGAGTGCGAGAGAAAAAGACAGAAAAGAGATAGAGAGAGTGATATATATATATATAGAGAGAGAGAGGGCGAGAGAAACAGAGAGAAAGAGAGAGAGAGAGAGAGAGAGAGAGAGAGAGAGAACAGCGCTGCCACCGAGACGCCGCCATTGCCATGTCTGAATTGTTACATTGCCTCGGGTCTCAGGTTGCCAACGGCCACAGGCCGCCTGGTAGGAACTCCCGTCCCATCAACGCGTCGTCCTCCAATCCTTGAACGCGGGGTGACGTTTTCTGTGCAGTCTGCCCGACAATCAGAATGTTGTGGGCCGCTCTTGTGAATCTTTACAACCACGCTGACGAGTCCAGCGCCCTACGGCTACCGGAACCCTCCGGGCGCCGCAGGGCGCCGTGAGCATATCTTTCCGGCGAACGATTACGCGCCCATCACGACCTCGAGGCAGACAGCAGCACCAGTGTCGTAGGGCGAGACCTGTTGGGTCATAGCGCGGCCCTGGGAGCTCTCCTGCACGCTCGTGAAATATATCACGGCCTTTATGCTACTCGCTGCGGTCGCGAAAGCAAGTGCCAAAGCGACCCCATCCAGAGCGTCGATGTTAGTATTGATCAAAGCTTTGAACGCCGCATCTAGTTTGCTGGTGTCCATCACAAAGCCATCGTTCTCGCTCGCCGAGTGACCGAGGATCTCGTGTTGCAACGCTGTTGCGAACGTAGGCGAACTGACGTCGTCTGCAGAAGTAGTGCCCCCTCCTCTCTTGTAAGTGGTCAAGGCGGAGCCCCCACTCGAGGCGCTCTCGGACTCCAAGTAGGGGTATAGAGACCCTGCAGCGCAAGCGGCACTTGGGCCCGCAAGCGCGGCTTTCAAAATTATCTTGACATTGTCGCTGTCGGGCGCCGGGCCCCCCATGCTCGTTACAGCCGCCGCACTGATGGCGCCGGGGTTCGCCATCTCAATGACGATGTCATTTCCACCTGGGGCAGCTGCGATGTTTGCCATTGTGACTGATCCACTCCCGATAGAGAGTTCGATCGGCATCGCGCTTTTAACTGATGTCTCAAAAATATCGCTCTATAGACACGACGTCCGCACAAAATTGCCAGACCCGAATATGACAATGCTTTTTTTGTCGATCATCGAGGATCGCCATCTTCATGAAGTTCTGTCACATGTCGAGCGACAGCGTTGTGTCCCCTCGCCGTATCGACCCGATGCGCAAAGGGGAAGTGAACGCCGGAGGAAAGCCTACGGACCCGGCCTTGTTGTTGGCGATTTGCAGTGGTGCTGCAATCTTGTCGCTGAACGTCACCATGTTTTTGTATTGATCAGAAAGGAGCTCGAAGCTCGCGCGGGCTTGACGGATCTGTTTGCGAAGTGCCCGAGTCTGCTTCCAGAGTAACGCATTCCCGACGAGGGGCAACAAGAAGACAGAAGCAGGGAACCAGTCCCAAGTCTCCGCGCTGCTTCCGTCCGAAAGGCACAGCATCCATGCCTTTGCTTAACGGAACACTAATTTCACGCATGTCGCGAACTTGGATTGAGTTTCCTGCTCTGGACACTGGTTCCGATGCCATAGACACGGGGGGCTGCGCACAGGTGCGCCCGTCTCCATTGGCGGCGGCACCGCGTATGGAATGGGCCGCAAGGCCTTCTTGGCCCGCCACGCACGCCCGTCGCTCTCTGCGCCGTCGGCATGGAGCCGTGTTGCGACGCTGACGCCTGCCGTCTCGTCGTCGCTTGGGATCTCGAAACTTCGGGCCCTGGCCCCCTCCAGCACGAGATCGTGCAGCTCGGCGCAGCAGCGCCTCACGGAGAGTTCGAGCTTCTCGTTCGCCCCCGTCGAGGATACGTTACGCCGCAGGCACAGCGGGTGCACGGTCTCGGCGCTGATGAACTGGCCGGGGCCGCGCCCTTTCCCGAGGTGCGGCAGCGGTTCCTGTCGTTTATCCGGGAGCAAGTCCAGCGATGTCGCCAAAATGCCGCAGGGAAGAGCAAGGCATGCCACGTAGTGTTGGTCGGGCATAACTCTTGGACGTTCGACGACCCCATGCTCATGAGTGGGCTCGTGGCGGAGTTCGGGGGCGCAGCCACGGAGGCCGCATGGTTCGAAGCGCAGATCGGGGAAGCTGTGCGCGTCTTTTCTGCTGATTCGCTGCGCGCGGCCAAGCGCGCGCGGCAGTGCGGCGCCCTTGCCGCTCCCAATGATCGCCTGGCCTCCGTATATGCCGCCGTGGCGCACTGCCCGCTCGAGAACGCGCACTCGGCCCTGGCTGACGCCAGAGCTGTTTTCACCGTGGTCTCGGCGCTGGAAGCGTACATGAGCAGTCGTCGGTGGACGATTGGCGCCGCCGAAGCTGCGCGGCTTCGAGCTGTCCGAAAACTCGTACGCTGCCCGCACTTTGTCTCTGCCGTCGTCGCGGGCCTCTCAGAGACGCAGGACGTGAACGTTGCCGCGCTCAAGAAGAGGGCGAATGATTTGCCTGCCTCGTCGGCTGCTGCGGCAGGTGAAGGGGCCTCCGTGATCCCGGACGAAGCGCGCATTCCTCCTCGACCGAAGCGCCGTTTGTCTACCTGGCAGTGCCCCGCGTGCGGACGCGTTTCGTCGCTCCATTTCCCGATCATCTGTTGTCGTACCGCTGCGGTGGAAGAGGCCGTCGTCGCGTGAGCCCCTGCAGGCAAAGCAGATGAGTGCGACGGAACCGTTCGCGTACGCTAAAACCAGGCGCGCGCGTGCGCTCAGCGGCCGAGTGATTTGGGACGCGGCAGATGCAACGGATGATGCGAACCGAGAATCGCTCCCCGACATCCTCGCCGCGAAAACAGGCGTGCAGCCAGCCTTCCAAACCCTGGTTGCCCTGGGTTCGGACGGCGAAGAGTGGACTCTCCTGGTGTGGCTGCCCGCCCTCGACCCGATCTCGCTGAGCTTTGCCATGGACTTCGAGCGAAACCCTCTGGTTGGTACCTGGCTCTCGCCACTTGCGGCGCTGCACATCAGCAGAGACCCCCTGTGCGGACGGCTGGCGCACAGTGAACTCGGGCCGTCGGAGTCGGACGGACGGCTTCACGCATTTTTGGAACCCGAGGGCATCAGCGAAGGAAGCCTCTGGTGGATCGGAGCGCTCCGCCTCTGCCGATGGGGGGGCTGCTCCTGCTGGAGCTCCGATTTCGCTCAACAGGCGCACGCGCTTGGGCGTGTGCGCGCGGCGCATTCGATGCAGGGATCTCATCTGCAACTTGAGCTTCCCGATGAGCACCCTGCAGTCTGGATGCTTTGTGAGCCCTTCCAGCGGTGGAACTGACCGCGAAGCTCCGTGCGACCTCACGCGCTTTCATCCGCGCTCAATGCCCCCGCGGGGAGAGGCGCTGTCCTAGAAATGGCATGGACATGACGAGCCCTGGCGTCCCGGAGCCCGTCGCAAAGCAACAGGGGGACAATGTGAAGAGCCAGCCACGCAGCAGCGCCCGATCTCCCCTCGTGGCCTTCCTCTCGAAGAACAACTTTTTGATCCGTGGCAAGGAAAGCTCACAACAGGAGATCACTCACGCGCTGATGGACGGCGCGGCGGGCGGTCGCATCTGCCTGCCCGATTCGGCCATCAGTGCTTTCTTTGCCGCCTATGGCGCAGAGCTGGAAGCCGAGCGGCCCGCCTTCGTTATCGAGGGGCGTACGCCCGTATTCAAGATGCATTTCGACCTTGACTTCACAGCGCTTCACGAGGATGCCACGGCGGAAGCGGCCGCGGCGATCATTTGCTCCGCCGTGAGCTCTTTCATCGCGAAGGACGACCATGCAGATCTCGGACGGACCTGCTGGTGCATCGCGTGCGGCATCCTAGATGACGCGGGCGCGAGGCGTGCCCCAGGACTGCATCTGGTCTGGCCGTGGCTGAAGGTCAGTACAGAGCAAGCACTCTGGATACGGGCGAGCGCTCTGAGCATGCTGCGCCAGGGAGCGACGTGCGAGCAGGACTGGGACAAGGTGTTGGATATCGCGGTGCTCACCACCAATGGGCTACGCATGGTTGGCAGCGACAAGTGTCGTGATTGCCGGGTGTGCGCGAACGGCAGGGAAGCGCGCCTTTTCTGTGGCGACTGCAATCGCACCGGAAAGATCGCGGATAATAAGATATATTGGCCTTGGCGAGCGATCCCTTCGCACGAGACGGAGGTGCTGCTGCGCGACCTTCGAGAGAACGCGGCCTACGTCGCTCACATGTGCAGCATCCGTGTCCCCTCGGATCAGGCAGTCAGCTGCCCGGCCTTCCGCATTCCCGTGGGCGCACCGCCGCCGAGCCTCAGGAAGAAGCTCGGCAGGTCTCAGGCGGCCAGCGCCGAGGGAAGAGACCACGCGCTGCAAGATGCCACAACGCAACTGGGCCGTGCACCGGGCAAGCGCGAGCCTCTCGATCTCTCGGAAGAGCTCAAGTGCGCACTGCAGGAGTGCATTGCTACCGTTGATCCAAGCTACGCGAATCTGGAGGTCCGCTCGGCAGACCGTCGGACCAATGCGGAACGAGGCCGCGTCACGGGCTGCCTGCTTGTCAAGGTCTCTGGCTTCGGCTGTCGATTCTGCCTCAACAAAAGCGCTGAGCACCGCCAGATTACTGTGTACTTTTTGGTCTCGACACGAGGGATCACGCAGCGCTGCTTTTCACGCAAGCCCGTGGTGCACGCCTGCGGACTTTGCGAAAAGTTTAGCAGCCCACCCGCACCTCTTACGCGGAGATTATCTACTGCTCTGATCGGCGCCGGATGCGCTTTCCTGATCGCGCAGCAGCCCAAGCGAGAGTTTCTCGCGATCGAAGCACAGCCCTGCGGTGGTCGCAGCTCTTTGGGCCAGTCTCTCAAGCGGCAGGGCGACATGCTTCTTCTCGCGGACAGGATCTGGGGGAAGACCCGCCGGACGGAAGACCCGCCACACTGAGAAGCGCCGCGCTGATCCGTGCGCGCCGCGGCCGTGACTTTCGCGTTAGGCCTCTGACGCTTTGGCCGAGAGGATCGTACTGAAAAGTCCGTCTGAAAAGTGCCACGCGTTCCAAATAGCCTCAGACAACATGCGCGAGCCAGATGAAGACGCGCGGCACTTTTCATTTTCGGACCTCTCTGCAACGGGGCATCCCTTTTTGGACGGGGAGCAAACGAACGGGGCCTCGATTCTCGAACGCCCGCTCACAGTGCACACCGCGCCCTTCCGCATGTGGGGCGCTCCCGTCCACTGGATCCAGAGATAAGGAGTTGCCGTGCGCTCAGCCAGATGCAAGAAACATCAGCAGGGCCTTGAGGTCTCGCGTCGTCCGTCCGCTTTTGAGCGCGGTCTAGAAAAGATGGGCGTAAAGGAAGACCCCTGTGACGCCGCGGCTGACCCCCGCGCGTGCTTCCGTGGAGGATGTGCGCCTGGGGGTCCCGCGCAGACATGCCTCCGATATGGGCATGCGGGCGATGGGCCGCTCCTTCTCGGATGTACTGCGTCAACAGACTGCGACGCTGCTTCCCCCCGGATGCGCAAAGGAGACACGGTCCACGCCTGCGCGTGCACCGGCGCGGCTCCCGCTCAGAGCGGGCCACCGCCAGCGTCGTGCCCGCCCGCGCCCCAGATTCGCCCTCCGGTACCTGCGTGCCGTCCCGCACGCTCAAGCTCTTTCGTCTCTTTCCTCTCGTTCGTGTGGAATGCTTTAGCGTGGATCGGGATCGTATTCTTGGTGTATCAGGGAGGTCGGGCCCTGCTGGCTCTGCGCGCGTGGCGCCGCTTCCGCAAAGACGTGGCTCTCGTCCACCAAGCGGATCTCACAGCCTCGCTATCTCCGCAGTCCGGTCTAAACAGTTCGGCGGAGTCGCCGGCGACAACGGCGATTGCACCGGACACTGTGGATGCGAATGCACCGAGCCCTGTGCCACAGTAGGTGGAGATGGCTCGGGTTCGCACGGATCTGAGCGAGCAACAGGAGCGTCCGCCGCTCGACGTTTCACGCGGTGCCGTCGCGTCCGTCGGCGGTGCTTCCCCGAGAGCACCCGCGCCGGTCCACAGTGGCGCTCGAACATGTGAAATGCTCGCGGAAACGCGACCAGCAGGCGGCCACGGCAGTTCTGAATCGTCAGTTTCTGAAAAAGCACGAAGTCGGCCAAGTCGAAATCGAGGAGTTTCGCGGCGTCGCCGGAGTCCAGAGAGGCATGCTTGTAGGGCTTTCCGGCGAGCAGAGCACTGAAGAGGCACGTGCGCGCGTGGCCTGCCGTGTGCGCGTGCTCTCCCGCCGCGGCGCGCGCATAGGTGCACGCGGCGTAAAAAGTCTGTGGCGCCTGGCAACGCAGTGTGCCCATCAATTCCCCGACCGTGTGGGACAGCTCCGGGTCAACGAGCTCTTCGGCAATCAGAATAGGCGCCGCCGCCTCTTCAACGCACGCTCCAAAGAGGCGTTCCAGGCGTAGCGTCTCGCGAGCGGAAATGCGTTCTTCGGGGGCTTCAGTCAGCAGCATGTCGAGCATCATGTGCTGGGGTTCGTCGCTGCGGGCCCAGACGGCCTCTCGGAGCTTGCGGAGAGCTCGCCGGGCGCCGCGGTCCGTTGTCGCTGCAAGCCTGTCGTTGTTCAGCATCTCCAGGACCATCACGCCGGCGGCCCAAATGTCTACTTTCTCGGTGTGCGCCTTGCCACTCTGCAGCATTTCTGGCGCCGTATAAGTCGGCGTAGCGCGCTGGTTCGAACCGAATGCGAAGCGTCCTTCAGCGCCAAAGGGCGGTCCGTCCTGCATGAACCGCATGAAGCCAAAGTCCGTGAGGTATACGCGCCCGAGGGCATTGACCAACACGTTTTCGGGCTTTATGTCCCGGTGCATCAAGACGGGTGTCATGCTGTGCAGGAACGCGAGCGCGCGGAAAACGTCCGTCACGGGGACCTGGCACGAACTCCAGTCGCCGAAGGCCTCGTCTGCAATGCCGTCGGCAATGTCGCGGTCCATCAAGGGCAGCAGCAGTCGGACCTGCGCGTCCCAGCCGAGAAGCACATCTAAGGCGGGCAGGATGTCTGGCGCGCCCGCGTCAGCGAGGAAATGTTGGAAAGCAATCTCGCGCAGGCACGACTCCGAGAGGTCGCCGCTGTCGTCGTATTTATATGTTTTCAGTGCGCGAGCGGCCAGCAGGTGCGTGTCCCAGACACGGAAAACTGTTCCGAATGTTCCTTCGCCTAGTGCGTCGGCAACCTCGAAGCGGCTTTCTTGCGATTCCTGGAAACGAGCGTGCATATGTTTGTAGATAGCACGGTGCCGGGTGACGCTCGAGTGCCGCGCCGCGTTCGGTGCCAGACCTGCCCAGCCGCTGTCGAGGCAAAGCAGCATGACGAGTCTCTACCTGAGCGGCACCGCGGCGAACTACGACCCATGCTTCCCGCTCCTCCGCCGCTTCTGTGGAGGGGCTGATCACCTCTGCCTGGTCGGGGGCTCGGGCGGAGCTCTTGTCGCCGCATGCCTCTCCCTTGAAAGCTCGGCAGCGTCCGTCGAGCGACGGTTCCGTGACGTGTGCAAGAGCCTCGAGGCCCCAAGCGAGCAATGGGAAGCTCGCGTTGCGATGGCGGAGACGTGGGTTCGCGAGCTCATGGGCGGCGCAGCATGCACAATGCGGCAATGGAGCGAGCGCTACCGCGCCTTCCACGTCCTGCTGTTTGATTGTGCAAGTCTCGTGCCAAAGCTCATATGCAGCGACGACTCGCGCGCGCGCGTGGCTGGCGTTCTTGCGCTCGCGACCGCTCGCGAGTCGCCGTCTTGTGGCCTGCCGCGCCAGGGGACCTGGTTTGCAGACGTGGAACCATTTTTGCCTGCGGGCCTGCTGGCGCCGCACTTGCAGCCGCCCGTCCTCGTCCATTTCGCCGCGGGCGATGTGCGCGATCATGAAGGGGAGAACACAAACGAGCCGCGGGGAGCGGCAGTCCTCCACGCCTGCTACGAGAGGATGTTGCGCGTGCCGCTGAGGGTCCTCACCTGGAGAATGCTCGGTCTGGTGTCATCTTCCTCACCAGGGTATTTGCTAACTCCGTTGCGATGGGGCTTCTTGGGGCGCCAGGACTCTGCGGCGTGCTCCGATGGGGCCAATGCACGCACGCTCTGCACTGCCGCTGCATTCGCTTGTGGCATGCTCATCTGGCTCTTGGCTCTCAGTTTCGCAATCTTCGAGCGACCAGAAGAATCTGCCATTTGCAGCATCGCGACTCGGGAACCTCAGGGCACAGCGCCTTCCAGTCGCGTCGCAGATAATCCGTTGGACTCCCACCTCCTCGGGCGCATGGACGACGCAGCCTCCGCCGGTGCGCGTGAAGCCAGCACGGAATTTCCCAAGAGTAAATCGTGTGTGAGGTGTCGTTCCGCCTGAGACCAGATTCTCACCTTCAGCGTTCAGATACCCGAACCGACTCAGCAGTGAAAAGGGCCGGTCGGCTATCAACATGGCAATGTCGACAAAGACGGCCATATCAGCACGGAAGCTGTGCGGAGAGATCGCGAAGGCGGCCTGGGCACGCAGGTGGCCCCAAGGGGCGGCGGCGAAACCCAGCGCTTGCGGGCGGGGCGACAGCGCCAGCACGCCGCGATCACGAAAACCAGCGCGGGCGCTCTGAAAAAAAAATCTGATGCTCACGGCCAACCGGGATCCCGTCAGGCAGCAGCACCGGTGCCTGACGCTCGGCGGGCAGCCCCCAAGGGGAAGCCCGGACGACAAGGAGCGCAAGAACAAAGCCGTCACGCGACGGGGCGTGTCCGAGTTTTGCTGGTGCAATGCAACTGACCGTATCCGTGCCCATTTCCTCGAGGCCTAGGCGAGCGCCGGCAGTCGCGCCAGCGCTCCGCTCGGCGTAAAAATATACAATGTCGCCGGTGCGGATGATGCCGTCAGCTGAGAGCCCTGAGCGTTTGTCGCGCTGTTCGGTGGTCATCGCTTTGCTATGAGTACCGCAGCTTCGGTGCCGTTGACCCAACTTTTACGTGCCACGAGGGCGGTGAAGAAGACCCTTTGCAGTGGCGGCACCCGCTGCATCGATGCGCCAATCCGAATCAGAGGGACGAAGCGCTCCTACGCGAAGGTCAGCTGCCCATCTGCGCCACAGCGGCTCCCAGGCCGGCCGCTGCGCCTACCGCTACAGTGCCCCGCGCGATGTCCACGCAGGTGAGGGTCCACGGGTAACAATCGCCCAGTACGCCCTTATTCGTCAAGTCGTAGACCCCGTAGATGCAGAGGCCCAGGAGAGCGCCCCTGCGGAAAGCTCTGCTCCAGTGCTGACCCGGGCGCACGACGAATGCGCAGAGAGCGACGACAAGCAGCGCGTAGGCGGCCCCGGCAGCCCCCAGTCGGGAGGGGAGCGCGCCCGATGCGCATGAGAGCGAGGACGCCCACGTCCCGAACGCGTGAAATGCGTGCAGCTGGTTCATTGTTTTTTTTTTAAACGTTTTTGGCTTCTCGCGTTTTCGAGCTTTCAATGGTCCAAGAGCGCCGAAGAGGCTCCCAAACCATGATGGTGCTGCTGCTGATGATGATAATGATGCGAACGACGATGATGGTGATGATGCTGCTTATGATGAGGACGATGACGATGATCATGATGATGCTGATGATGAGGACGACGATACTGACGATGCTGCTGCTGATGATGATGATGCTTATGATGATGCTGATGACGATGCCGATGCTGACGATGTCGCTGATGATGCTGGTTCTGATGATAATGGTGTTGATGAGTATGATGACGGCGGGGAGGGTGATGATGCAGATGCTGATGATCATAGTCATGCTGATGATGCTGAGGGTGATGATGACGATGCAGATGATGACGATAACGAAGAATATTATGATGACTCTGAAGAAGATGATGATGATGATGATGATGCTGCTGCTGATGATGATGATGATGCTGATGCTGATGATAATGACGAGGATGCTGATTATGATGCTGATTATGATGCTGATTATGATGATTGTGGCAATGGTGATGTTGTTGCTGATGCTGATGTCGATGATCATGGTGGTGATGCAAATGATTCTTGGGATGCTGAGTCTGCCGATGATGAAGAAGGGGATGTTTGACGGTGCCTATGGTAATGGTGATGATGATGATAGTGATGACCATGACGATGACCATGCTGCTGATGATGCTGGTACTGATGATGAGGAGGACGATGATGATGCTGATGACGATGATGCTGATCATGCTGTTGATGACGATGCTGACGATGATGATGATGATGATGAGGATTATGATGTTGATGCTGATGATGACGATGCAGATGATGCTGCTGATGATGAAGACGATGCTCATGCTGCTAGTGATGACGATGATGATTCTAATTCTGATGTTGATGATGAAGATGATGTATGCTGATGATGATGCTGATGACGGTGATGCTGATGAGGCTGATGATGCTGATGATGATGCTGATGCTGATGATGCTGATGATGATGAGGAGGGTATTAACGATGCTCACGATTAGGATGATGAGGATGACGATCACGACGATGCTGCTGCTGATGCTGCTTTTGCTGTTGCTGCTGCTGATGATGATGATGATGGCGACGAGTATGATGAGGATAATGGTGGTGATGTTGATGATGTTGATGATGGCGATGATTACGATGATGATACTAATGATGACGATGATGATGATGCTGATGATGATGACGATGACGATGATGCTGCTGATGACGATGCCGATGATGATGATGATGATGATGATGATGATGATGATGATGATGATGTTGATGTTGATGATGGTGATGGTGATGGTGATGATGATGATGATTATGATTATGATGATGCTGCTCATGCTGATGATGGTGATTGTGATGGTGATGGTTGTGATTATGCTGATGATGCTGTTGCTGCTGCTGATGATGCTGATGCTGATGACGATGATGCTGTTGCTGCTGCTGCTGCTGCTGCTGCTGATGATGATGATGATGATGATGATGATGATGATGATGATGATGATGATGATGATGATGGTGTGGAGTTGTTTCTGTTCCTTTTCTGGTGTTCCTGCGCGTGGGTGTCCACAGAACACGAGAGTCCCACTCATGAAGTGGGGGGAGAGCCCAAGGGGGAATCCATTTTTGTGGCTTCTCTGGACCCTGTTGGAGGTCTTTTTGTGGCCATTTCGGGCTCTCTTGGAGGCATCTTGGGCCGTCTTGAAACAATATCCAGCCGCCTTGGGGCCATCCTTGGCCGTCTTCGAGGCTCTTTGGCCATCTTGGTTACCTTGGTTGCCTGCGCGGGCCGTCTTGGAAGCTCGGGGCGCATATCCGTTTTTTCAACGAGGGATCGTGGCTTCGGAGTCCCTGGACAGCTTGGGAGCAGCGCCTTGGAATGCGGGACGTGCACAATCCTCGAGCGGGCGCGCGTTGGATGAGGGGTCTACGAATTAGCAGCCATGTGGGACGCGCACAATCTTCGAGTGGGCGCGCATGGAATGGGGACATTAGCTGCCATGCGGGAAGTGCACCAACCTCGAGCGGGCATGCGTGGAAGGTGGCATCCTCGAGCGGGCACGAGGGAAGTGGTCTCGGAAAAAAGGGCGATGCCCGCAAGAGTCTGCCAGCATGGGAGTGGGAGGCACCTTTGATCCACGCCTCATCGTGCCAGGTGGCACGGTGGTGGACTGAGAGCCAGAGAGGGCTGGAGAGAGAGAGAGGGAGAGGAAGAGAGAAAGAGAGAGAGAAAGAGAGGCAGAGAGAGATAGAGAGAGAGATGGCGGTAGAGAGATAGCGAGAGAGGTAGAGGAAGAGAGCGAGGGAGGGAGAGGAAGACAGAGAGAGACAGAGAGAGAGAGAGAGCGAGAGAGAAGGTGGCTGCGTGTACACAACGGAGCACAGCGCAGTCCAGCTGGGAGGTGTGGGAGGAGGGAGTGAAGGGAGTGAGCGGGGAGGGGAGGAACACGAGTGCGCGGCGGATGGGCGGCAGCTCCCTGGCAGGCCGCGAACAGGGCCGCGGACCTCCAGGACCTGGACGACTTCCTCGCCTCCTCCTCGCTTGCGGAGGCGCCACCGGTGCGGCGCGCGGCGCGCCCCCTCTTCCGCCTACCCCGGCACCCGGTGGGGCGGGGTTGGGGGAGGGGTGCGGGGGAAGAGCGGGGAGGTGGAGAGAGGGGGGAGGGGAGGGGGAGGGGAGCTTCGGGGCTTCCACGCTTGCCCCCAGAGGGGTGCCTCGGTGTCTGGCGGTGCACCGGGGCCCTGGGGGAACTTCATTCCGCCCCTTCCCCTGGATGAGCAGGTCTCCTGACGAGCAACCCAGCCTTCCCGGCCGGGGGTCCCTCGCCTGGGAGTCTTGTCCGGGGGACCGGCTGTGCCGTGCCTCTCTTTTTGCCCTCCCTGTTTGCGCAGGTCTCCTGTGGGCCCCCCTCAGCCTCCCCGGCTGGGGCCTCCCCCTCTGGGAGTCGTGACCGGGGAGGGTTCTCCACCCACCTCCAAGGTGTGAGCGGGCCGCATGTTGGCGGGCCGCGGGGTGTTTGGGGCGCGCGGCATTGACGCGCGTGTCCGCTGGCATGAATCGGGGCTTCCACGCGTGCTCCTGCTGTGTGCGCGGCGTTCCTGAAGTGAGCGTGTGCTCTCTCCACCCACCCGCGCGCATGCTGGCCCCTGCTTCCCCCCACCGTGCATACGGTGGGCCGCTGGCAGAGCCGTGCAAATGCCATCCGGGGTCAATGCCGCATTGGGCACCAAGCTGGGCGAGCAAGAAGGGATCAGCGCAAGGCGGGA